ATTTTTTCCGAAGAGTTTTGATAGAATCTCTTTGGCTTTCTGCTCTCTGACCAGGATATTCCAGAACTGAGGAAGCAGAATTATACCAAGTGATTCCAAAGTCAGATGGCAGAGAAAGGATTTATGAGGGTAAGAGTATCCTTGTGAAGGCATGAGTTTCCTCATGCTGGGGGCATCTAGGCAGTGCCTACATTCATCTGCGAAGGAGGAAGGCAGCCTACATTTTAGTGGGCATTTGAACTGTGTGACATGTAAGGCCTCTTCCACTGCTTGGCTGAACAGAAATAAAATGTGCATTTATATTCCAGTGAAATGCCAGGTACTAAAGTAGGATCATGCACGTGTATTATTTTCTCAACAAGTCTGGAATGGTAGCATTTACCTTGTTTAATGCTGCAGTCCATGGGGTCACAAAGAGTCGGACACGACTTAGTGATTGAAGAACAACACCTTGTTATATAGCAATCAAAACTGAAGCCCCTGAGCTTCAGGTACTTTTATATGGATGTCTGTCAACTGAGACCACCTTTTACAATCTTCATTCCAATATCACAACTTTTATATACAGTTTAAAGAGGAGAAACTTTTTTTAAGGCATTGTAGATTTATATTGTTGTGCCAACCTCCTCTGATGTACATCAAAGTGACTCAGTTGCATACATATACATATATATTATTTTTTTAATATTTTTTCCATATTCTGTGATAAACCATAAAGGAAAAGAGAAGATTTTTTAAATAGATATTTCTAAGATACTAAGCATTAAAATGAGGACTTAACAGTGATAAATTTTTTGACATTTTACCTAAAATTCCACAAGGCATTTTGGCAATAGAGAAGAAAAGAACAAAATTTTCTTTAATTTACTCTTTGCATCTATATCCTAAGTATCTAATCCTATATTCATCTGATTTTGACACAGATCTATGTTACACAGTCTCCACTGAAATTTCCAAAAACTTAAGCATTGCCTTAGTTATGCCGTGGTAACTAGGGAACCCAGAAAGTTATTGAGTGTGCAAAATAACCTCTGAGTTCCTTATTTTATAATATGAGATTTGAATGACACTTTTATAGTATTTTAAGCATCTACTAATGAAAGCATCTGATACAAAATTATTTTGGTTGAATAACATGTCTCCTTAAATCATGCATTTACGTATAAATTGCAATATTTTCAAACAATTCTAAATTAAACAGTCTATATAAAATATGGCATTGTATTTTTTTTTTATCTGAACTAGCCATTGGCCATGCACTTAGAGGTAATTTCCAAATAGACAATTTGGGCGACTGCATTTTGATCCTTGCAGTGAGTTGCCCACTGAGGTGAAGAACCAACTTTAACCTGAGAGAAAATTGCTTGGAATGAAGTGAACCCACAGTAGTGGAGCAGAACAAATGCATGGCTTTTGACTAATCACTAGGGAGACCAAAAGACAGCCTGAATGAACAAGTGTAAAAATAAATAAACAAATGAAGCAGTTTTTGTTTTAAGGATAGTAGATGATAAATTCATTTTCACATGCTAGAGCAAAATATGATGTATTTATTTCTATTGCATGCTATGGTATTATATAAATTTAACTCTTTATTTACATATTCCTAAAATCTGCATAACACTCTATGTCTAGTGTTCACTTATCTTAGTGCTTATTAAACAATTATGGAATTACATCATTACTGGTCTCCACTATTACTAGATTATAAATTGCTTGAGGACAAATATTAATTATTTTGAACACAATGCACAGAGGACTGCATTTGATGGATGGCACTCATTTATTCATTGAATAAATATCTATTGTGTATATACATTGTACCAGCTACTGTGCTAGGTTCTGGGAACACAGTAGTGAACCAAGCAAACATGTTTTTGCCTTCATAGATCTTTAAAGAAAGAAATCAAAATGTTTAAGTCTACATAGATTACTAATATCTTTGATGGAACAATCTAAGTGTATAATTTTACCCCAAGAAAATTCCCTCTTTGTAACAATATTGGAAAGCGGAAAAGAAAAGCCTCAGAGAAAGGGCTAACTCATACGTTTAATAAAGAATAATTATACTTTCTACACATTTATGAGCTACAACAACACCACTTTTGAACAAAGATAGTAGTTATATTCCTTCCAAGGGAAATGTAATACAACAAAAAGTTCAACCTCTAAAAAGATGTTATATAATACCTTGATATCATCCAGATCACAGACTATCACGCATTAGTACATTCTATGAGTTAAGAAGAGCAGTAATATAAATCTTTCAAAAACCTGTATTATTACACCTCTTAGAAACTACTCAAAGTTCATTTTTATTCTAGCCATTGGTGCAGGAACTAAACAGTTCTATGCAGGCTTCAGCCAGCTTCCCATAAGTACTACCTGCATTTTTCCTCTGCTAAACTCTCACTTCCTGTCTTGGATCATTCTTGATGCTGCAGTGTGAACTTTGCCCTGCAGTTCATGCAGGGAGGGGAGGTGGGGCCCCTGGGGCCATTCTTAACCTGTGGGCAATTACAGTGGTTGAAAGCATCCCCTTTCATCCCATGTGGGTCAGTTCTGAACCACATTTATGATGTTCCTCAAAGATCCCAGGGGATGGAGTAGAAGTTGCCCACGGAGGTTGCCGACATGACAAAGCGTTTTTCTAACCAAGCTTCTCCCTCTCCTGTTCATTCTGCTTTTACCTCTTATTTACTCCCTGAGATCATATTTAAAACAAATAAATAAGCAATAATAACAACAGCAAAATCACTAACTTTTGCTACACCTGTGTCTGACTTTCCTTTTAGGAGATCAGAGGAAGATACATGCCTTCCCCAAATAAGAAAATACCATACTTCCTAACATGAGCTTCTGCTCTCCACAATAATTTGACATTTTAAGACATCTGAGTGAACTACTCAGGATTGATAATCTTTTAAGAATAATCTATCATCTTCATTAATCTCTGATTCAGCTGCTAAGAGGCTTTCTGTTAATCCCGATAGCACATTGTGTTTGTTTTCATTAAGGGAATTCTTTACCGGCTGGGTAAGTAAACTAAGTCTTTTGTGGATTCCTGGGCAGGAGCCCAAAGTTCTAATATGCCTTTGATAAGAAACACTTCTTGAATTCTTCTAGTTCACCTACACTGCAGGAAATTAAGATCAAGGTTAGGAGTGGTGAGCTCTTTAACTAGCCAAGGTGGGGCAGATGGGGGGGGGGGGGGGGCAGGAAAATAAAACTTGAGCTTTCTATAAGATAAACTTAAAACTACAAGGGTTTATTTTTAAATCCAACTGCCTACAATTCTCACTTAAATCTCAGGAAATTAACCTTGGGATGGGGGTCAATCACACAGCTTTTCATTTATCTTATTTTATTAACTTGCTTTGTTTCTGTTTCTTTATAATTTAGACCCACAGTACATTTTCATGGGAAGTGCAGTGGAGTATTAGCTTTCATGATCATCTGTCTTGTTAAATCATTGACTTTTCCTTCATATTTTAAAACAGAAACAATAACCATATTATAGCGAGCCAAGATTTTCCCCCATAAAGAACATTTTCTTAGAGGAGAATAAATGTTATGGATTGTCTCTTTTAAACTGTCATGCTTGACTCTTTGATATTCAAGGCTCTGTGTGAAAAACTTAAAGGCTTTTTAAGAAGGAACAAATGGCAATAATAATTTTGTGATTTACTTCCAACACTTTTAACTGTTCTCTGGAGAGGAAAGACCTAAGTTCATGTCAGGATATATCAATTATTACTCAGATAAATGTTTTTAAACCTCCAAGCTCTTCATCTTTAAAATGGAAAAAAATAATAGTATTTACCCCCTGTGATTGTGTGGATTCAATACAATGAGCCTAATTAAATGTTTAATATTATAAGGATTAACAAATATTACCAATTATCATTATTAACATCATCATTGTCTTCTTCAAATGTCCAATGACATAAAACAGGAATGACATTAAATGCAGGTTATTCAATTTCTTCCACAGGATGGAAGGATATGAGGCAGTGATTACTCTTAGCTTTGTAGGTGAGGAAATTAGGGCTCAGACAATTTGAATAAATTTTCCACAAAATTCCTAAGTGACAGAGCTGAGAGATTAAACCCGTGTCTGCTCAGCAACAAAGCTCATAATTTTCTAGTATGGAGTTGCTAAACACCAGAAATCTATGAAACTAAACTTGCTAGCATACAGTTTTTTAATCATTTGAGGAAATCATAGCCGTTAGAGATTATTTGAAGATTAGTTTTTGTTGACTATTTAATTTGGCAATCCTTAATTTAGCTAATTTCCCCATCAAGAGCATATACTCTGATTATTGTCTAAATTCACTGGTGCCAGGGTATCATTTCCCATCTTGTATGGCCTTTGTCATCTGCATGTCAGAAGTTATAAAATAGTTAATAAATAATTATTTGACAAAGACAAGATATATTTCAGTGGCATGTTTTTAACAAAGCAAAATATATCTTCAGCATTTTGACAATGCATGGGATATATATTAATCTTTTTTCTCTTATTACTTAGAAAGCAATAATATTAAAAAAAAGAAAATCTATGTCTAAAATATGGCTTGAAAATTCTAAATATTGATGTGTTCTCTCAAGATACCTTGGACTAGTTTATTGTAACACTTAGTGAATTTCTGTTTCCCATTTCTTTTCTACAAGCTGTAAATGGAAGTTTAATGTGTTATGAATATTGGATCTTCACAGTCCACTTCTATAACTCCATAGTCTTGATGATAACTTCAGCTAAATGTTTGCAAGAATAATTTGAAAACATTTTGACATCTACCTACCCCAATCATAACCTATGATACCAAGAAAAATCTTCCTATTAGGTTGTGTGTTTGCACCTTAAAACTTTAGGCTGCTCCTGTGGTTACATGGTCTTGAGAAAGTTAGATTGCAGCATTTTATTTGACCATACTTCAGTATTTCTATCAGCACTCAGTGAATATTTAATTAATGATGCCCTCTATTCTTGACAGTGAGAGCAAAAGAGACAAAATGCTACCCTCATGAATGAATATTCCACGGATGTATGATGAAGCGCAAGAACTGAGGGCAAGCTGACTGGGTGGGCAGCTCACCAGCCACGGCTCCAGAAGGTCAGTTACTGTCCACTCACTGAATAAAATAAAGGGAGTTTGTGATTTGGCATAAAGCATAGACTTGGAATCAGGACATCTGAATTTTAGGCAGTCTCTGACATTTTTACTTGGTGCTAACTAAGACAAGTCATTGAAACGCTTTGGCATCCATTTGCTCATTGGCAAAAGTAGGATGATGTCAGTTCCTCTTAATTTTCAGTCTTTGTGCTATGAGATGACTTCAATATTCCTACACAATTGAGTCTAAATTTCATAATAAAGGTCCCAACCAAACTATTTTTAATTTCCCAGGTCTTATTTCCTTTGAATAAAACAAGTCCTCCCCTTTCCTGCTGGCTAATTCCTACTACTCTTTTAAGACTTATTTCAAAGGAAGTTACCTTTGAGATATTTTGAGTTTGCCAATTTTCTGCCTTCATATATAATATAATGTGATACATATTTAGTATATTTCCTTAGGAGGGTCTTTTGGAAGTGGAACTACTGAGTCAAATATGACAAACATTTTAAATCACCAAAATGATTTCCCCAAAACTTGAGATTCACCAGATGTTATGAGAAAATTTGTTTCAAAAGATTGTGTTTAAGCCTGAGTGTTATTACTTTAGTTTTTATTTTGGTCAATTGTTTACTTACACATAAGACTGTACATCTCTCATAGATAAGTTAGTTGGAAATCTCTACCTTACTCATAATAATTAATTAATAAATACCCAACATATTGAACACAATAAATATAGTGTTAGTTGTCACATAAATCAGAAGGACACAGAACATTGAAAGATGCAACATATTTGAAAACATATGCTGATAATTATGAGTAGATGTATTTCAGTTTGATAAAAATTAAACTCACCTGATAGCTTTCTACTATTTTTTCTACAACATGCTCCCAATGAACAGATATCTCAGAAGATGATAAGACTTTTACTCCTACTGCTGTTGGGGCTTCACTGGGAGCTGAAATTTGATGAGAACATTGCATTCTTACATAAGATGCTTATATTAAGAAACTCAAATAGCACCATTTGCTGTATGAATGGATGAAACCATATTTTAGTATTTAAAATAGTTTTAATATTTCCAAAATAAATAGTTCAATAATTTTATTACTTCTTCCTCTATTTTTATTTGTCATGGTCATCAGTAATATACACACACACATATTCATATATATGAATGTTAATATAGAGACACATATACATACATATGTACACACATTTACAAAATATGGAAATCCATAAGAATTTCTCTGATATCCTTGAGCAAGAACCATACTAATATTTTATATTTCTTTTAATAATTTGTTTATGAAAGCTTGTGAATGCAAATCAAAATTTATTATTAATATGTTCAACTTATCAACTCTCTATATAATATTAAAAATAGGAAATTAGGTATTTCTTACAGAAAATTATTCATTAACAATTAATTTTCAACTTTTTCATGCTATTTGTATGAACTAAAGATACACAGCAATACTTTCCTCTTTTTCTTTTATGTTTAAGCTAAGTTTTTTTTTTAAGATCCTTTGAAACAAGTTGTGACATTCATTGCTTCTTGGGCTCAGAAAAGCTTTTATAAGTCTAATCTTCCAACTGGGCATCAAGTCAAATATGTATCAAAAAGGCCTCTGTTCAGTGAAAAAAAAAAGTACTCTATATCCCTTACCAAAATTACACAAAGAAACTAAGGAAATCTTAAGCAGGAATGATCAGGAGTGATCAATTTTTATTGTCTTTTATTAACAAGCCATAATACTCTTTTATGCTAAATTGTCCTGCATATGAACACAGTTGTCTTTCCAAAACAAGGTAAATGTGCGGTGCTATGATTGATTTCTTAACAGTAAAAGAGAAAATGAACATTTATACAAGTTTCGGCACATGCAGGTTTTATGAGGCTTATGAAACATTTAGGAAAGAAATGTAATTAAATACAGATGGCCATAACTAAAGACATGACAAGCATGGCCTTTACCTGATTACTTAAGCATCAAATAAAACATTAAAAATGATACTGGGTGAGAATATAACTTGTAAAATGTTTTATATTTTCATTTTCTCTATGAGTTGTACATATGTCATTCAAACTAAGACTGAGTCAAGTTATAATATTTCTCCAAATTAGAGTGAGTTTTGAAAATGTAAAATTACTGAGGATTAAAAAGTCCAGAATTGATTATAAATTTAGAAATTTCTACTTGTTTTTCTATGTGTTTTGTCTTTCAAAAAGAGTGTGTGTACATAGATAAATATATAAGATAGTTGTTCATGTCAGTATTGGAAGTAAAGATCATGGAATGATTTGAATATATACATTTTTAACAAATATGAAAGCTATGACTAAAGAGTATAAACTTTAAGGGATAGCTAAATGTTTCTTGTGGGCCAAACATAATGTAAATTGTAAACTAACAAATAGTGCTTTTCCTCTAAGAAATCAGAAGAATATTTCACATAGCTTTAAGTTTTAAAACCCTCCATTGTTGCCTGTCACACGTGTGCAAAGTGAAACTTATCCAAGCACCAATGTGTTAGGTCAGAAAGCAATGAAAATTTCTATTTTCTCTTTCTGTTATTAATTATTTACCTAGTGCACATGAGTACAAAGGTATAATAAGGAAGTATTATCTTTTCAAATAGGAAAATAAATAATACAAATGTAGTAACTTAAATAGGAAATCATAGAAGTTAGTGTAATTACATTTAAAATTATGTATCATTTATCATAGATATATAAAGTTCTTCAGGAACATGATCAGTTCAATTAAAGTTTCTAGAAAAACAAAGAACCAGTATCAGTAATTTTATCCCTTTCATATATATTTTAATTTCCAAGAAAAAATTTCAATTGGCCTTCTGACCCCCTTTTCATAGAATTATGCCTAAATTCCCTTTAATAAAATTCCAGGATGCTACTGTTGATAAAGAATCTGCCTGCAATGCTGGAGACCCTGGTTCAGTCACTGGGTGGGAAGATCCCCTGAAGAAGGGAATGGCAACCCACTCCAGGATTCTTGCCCAGAGAATTCCATGGACAGAGGAGTCTGGTGGGCTACAGTCCACAGAGTTGCAAAGAGTTGGACACAACTAAGCAACTAACACTAACACTAAGGAACATGCTAATGTAATGACAAAAAAGTTACATAAATGCTACATTACACATTTTTTAGTTAAATGGGGAAATTTTATCAAAAAATTATATTAATTAAATATTATTAGTATATATTAAAGAGTTGGTAAACTAGTGAATTTTATGAATGAACAGGCACACTGAGGTTCTCAAATCTAGAGAATTTCTGACTGCAAAATTATAATTAAGAGATCAGGAATAGGGTCTAAGTCAATGATTTTAGTGGTGATTTACTAACTATCATAAACACAATATAAAGGATGAAAAAGATTTTGGCAATATTCTTGTCATTTAGATAAAGAGATTGACATGTTGACTTGGCTCAAAATAATACTGAAAAGACTGCAAACAAAATGCCTACTAGAGAACCAGATTTTTAATCCCTCATCATGTCAATGAGGCCTTTCTTTCACCTACCATCTTGTGCGGAATGGATGACAGCTGTGAGACTGTAGGGTCCATCTCCTTTGTTGTTGAAAGCTTTGACTTTCACTTGAAATGCAGTGGAAGGGCGCATGGTCTCATCTTTATGGACATAGCGGCCAGTATCTGGATTAGTAACTGTCACTTTTTTCCATTCTTCCCCATCAAATGGCTTAAATGCCACTATGTAACCAAAATTGTTGCCATAGTGGTATTCTCTTGACAAAGGCTAAATAGAAATTGAAATGTTAAATAAGTTCAAGCAATACAGGTAACAGGGAGAAAATCATATGCAAACAAAAATGCTACACATGGAAGCATGCTTTCTGCAAAAACATTTTTATTTCCTAAGTGAGAGCTGCCTACAAAAATCCAGCACAAACAAGCTGCAACACGTGAGACTTCGCTTACTAAGTTGACTATTTCTGAAACACCCTGGGGGAGGGGTACCTCTCACTCGGTCTTTTTACTTTCAGTTTCTTCCTTCAAGGGTGCTTTCCCTGAATCAAAAGGCCCTTCCCTCACTTTCTTAAAGCTAAAAAGATTGGAAAGAAGAAGTAAAACTCACTGTTTGCAGATGACATGATCCTCTACATAGAAAACCCTAAAGACTCCCCCAGAAAATTACTAGAGCTAATCAATGAATATAGTAAAGTTGCAGGATATAAAATTAACACACAGAAATCCCTTGCATTCCTATACACTAACAATGAGAAAAAAGAAAGAAATTAGGGAAACAATTCCATTCACCATTGCAATGAAAAGAATAAAATACTTAGGAATAAATCTANCAGGATCCTCTATGACCCACCTCCCAGAATATTGGAAATAAAAGCAAAAATAAACAAATGGGACCTAATGAAACTTAAAAGCTTTTGCACAACAAAGGAAACTATAAGCAAGGTGAAAAGACAGCCTTCAGAATGGGAGAAAATAATAGCAAATAAAGCAACAAACAAAGAATTAATCTCAAAAATATACAAGCAACTCCTGCAGCTCAATTCCAGAAAAATAAACGACCCAATCAAAAAATGGACCAAAGAACTAAACAGACATTTCTCCAAAGAAGCCATACAGATGACTAACAAACACATGAAAAGATGCTCAACAGCACTCATTATCAGAGAAATGCAAATCAAAACCACAATGAGGTACCATTTCATGCCAGTCAGAATGACTGCTATCCAAAAGTCTAAAAACTTAAAAGCCTTAAAAAACTGGAAATAGAACTGCCATATGACCCAACAATCCCAATTCTGGGCATACACACCAAGGAAACCAGAATTGAGAGAGACACATGTACCCCAATGTTCATCACAGCACTGTTTATAATAGCCAGGACATGGAAGCAACCGAGATGCCCATCAGCAGATGAATGGATAAGAAAGCTGTGGTACATATACACAATGGAATATTACTCAGCCATTAAAAAGAATACA